GAGCGCCAAAACTTTCTGTCTGTGGCGTTTTGTTCCCCTTCGACGGCACCTCGAAGCACAACTTACCGTGCCTTGCGAGCGCAGGTGTTTACCTGCTTTAGGTCGGGCGTGCACCCCTACAGGGGGATGCTGGGCGACAAATAAAACCACTCGGAACAGACTCCCCACATGCTCAAGAATAGTAAACAAATCGTCCCCAAACGAGTTTTTCCTACTATTTTGGAGTATTCCTCCTGTACTGGGATGACCGTGGGGGTTCCTAAGTGGATAGGGGGGTTACAAGTGGATGCCAAGGTGGGTTATATCTGGCCCAAACTGGCTTCTAAGTGGGTTACAAGTGCCCCAAGTAGCTTAGGAGGGGTCGATAACTCGGCTAAGTGGGCGGAGCCCACCTAGCCCAGATCGTTCACCCCCCTAAGCTACTTGGGGCACCTGTAACCCACTTAGAAGCCAGGCTGGGCCAGATATAACCCACCTTGGCATCCACTTGTAACCCCCCTATCCACTTAGGACTGGGACGCACATGGACATACTAATACTATATATCCTCCTTGGAGGCGCGCGTCCGACCCGAACATATAGTATACCCATCTTGTAGTATATCGTTTCCCGAGCGGTGTGGCCTGAAAGCGCCCGCCACGACGCATATACTATAAGATTTCTCGGTGCGCGCGTCGCCCCTGGGGGGGCGACGCACATATAGTATGAGTATGTTGGGGTGTTGCCGAAGGACCCCCCACGGTCATCCCAGTACAGGGACCAGGCCCGGCTCACTGCTTGCTCCGCGTGCCTGCCAGACCCGTCCGCCGGCGGGCCCTGCGCCGTTCTGCCTCCGCCGGCCTCCGACGGCCTCCCCGGCCGAGGAAGAGGTGCGGCTCGGACGTCCCCCGGACTTCTGAGAAGTTTTCGAAGCCTTCCCCGAAGACAGACAAAAAACTTCTCAGAAGGCGCGGGGGCTTCTGAGAAGTCCCGCCGCCTTCTGAGAAGGCCTCCTCCTTCTCAATTCCCCCCCTCGCTCGCCGCCGACAACCTCTCCCCGGGGCAGGCTCGAGGGAGCCTGTTTTTTTTAGACTCTGACCAGTTTACTTGCATGGACGGGGGGGGGCTGAGCCTGAAGCAAGCCCGGGGGGGGGGGGGGCGCGGAAATCACGCAAGTCGAAAGGCACTTGCACGCTAGGATTCGCTTGAAGAGGGGCGAGGGGGGGAGGGGGGGGCGAACGCCATGCAAGTAAACTCGCCTGAATCCAAAAAAAAACAAGCAAAGGGCAACAAAATACAGCACAAGGGCCTCGGCATCCCGAATCCAGTCGAGGATTTAAGCAGTCCAGGTAAGTCTGTAGGTCTGGAGGGCATCTTTTAGCCCTCTGGGAGGTCCGGGTCGAGACCCCTCCCCGGCGAGGCCGTCTCTGGAGCGCGCCGTGCGGGAAGGTCCTGTGGCGGGATGTGTTTTGCCGGGCCCTCGCGAGCCCCCAATGAGACTGCTGCGGCATGCACAAGTTCGGGAGCGGCCAAGAGGGGGGGGGTCCAAGAGGGGGGGGGGGTGCAAATCATGACGGGCGGCACGTGCGCGGCCCAGCGGGGGGGCCAGGGACGTGAGGAAATAAGGAGAGGCGCCCTGAGATCTGGGCAAATATCATGGCCCGCGCCATGAAATCCACCCCCCCCTGGTCATCACCCCCCTCTTTTCCGCCCCCGAGCGATGGAGCGCCGAGCAGCTTCCAGAAACTGCCAACCGACGCAGCGCTCGCGAAAGCGCTGGCTCCGCGCGCTGGCGGGTGCCGCGCGCTGGTGGGTGCTCCCAGGCCCATGCCAGGGCGCCGGCCTCGGCGCAACTCCTCGCGCGCGCGGGAGGCGGAGGCGGGCCAGCGGCCCTCACCGCCACCGGGAGCGGTGGGAGCGCTCAGTAGGAAGGGGCCCTGGGGCACACAGATAAATGCACACGAACAAAAAGAGACTCCCCACATTTTCCCATATTCTCTTGGCTTCTGTCTTCCCCCCCCCCACTTCCCATCTTTTCCTATATGTGCTGGGGGATCGACGATTAACTGTGTATGTGTGTTTTTGCCCCTCCTGACAGTAGACGAAGAAGAAACGCCATAGACACAAACTTATGGCGCTCCGCGGGGATTTTCTTGGATCGGCGCTGGGACCCCTTTCCCTTGGAGCGGCGCGCGGAGCGCGCCAGGGGCGGCGCCGGAGGCGCCGCCGGGGGGGCCCAGCGCGGAGCCAAGAAATCCGCGCAGAGCGCCAGGAGTTTATGCTCATGGCGTTTTTTTTTCTGCGTCGGCATCACCACCACTGGGAGTGGTTGGAGCGGTCATGCAGCGCCTGAGCCTCTGCGCCGCTCACGTCCGGAGGCCCCATGGAGCCGAACCTCGAGTCGATGCGCGTCAGCCAGACGACAGGGCTCAGCACCGCGAGGGACACGCCGACGGCGACGAGGACGACCGCACCGGCCGTCTGGTGCGCCCTCATCTTGCTGGCCACGAAGGTGCGGTGGGTGGACACCCACAGGACCGCGGGGATGACGTAGATGAGAAGGGTGCCGGCGGTTGTGCGGCCGAAGTTGACGGCCATCGCGTCGATCTTGTGTGCCGAAGTGCTTGTCAGGACGACCGCAGTGAGCAAAAAAAGGCTGAGTACGTTCTGGAAGGCGACCTTGCTGAAAGCGAAGTCCCACTCCGGCATCATGCTTGCCAGCAGCTCTACCAGCGCCTCGCGCATCGCCGCGAAGATCAGCGGAAAGCAGCCCGCGAGCCCCACGCTCAGCGCCACGCGGGCGGCGACGGCCAGCTGGTCGTTGCTGGCGTAGTTGTCCAGGGTGATCAGGTGCGCAGTGTCGCCGAAGGTCAGGAAACAAATTACCATGGTGACGGCCACCGCAAGAAAGCCCATGCCCATTGCCAGACCCACCCCTGCGGAGAACAGGTGCTTGTGCGAACCGCTCAGCTCCCTGAAGTATTTGGCCGCGTTGAAGTGCATGAGTAAAAGAACGGACTGGATGCTCAAGAGCTGCACCCCGTGTTCGTGATAGCAATATAGATTTTGCCACTTGCTGTGGACGCGGTCTATCCACTGATGCTTGTCAATGAACTCATTGCCTGGCTCGTAGCTGGCGTCAAAAAAACGCACCACCACAACCACAACAAAAAACAGTGTAGACGAACCGACGACCACGGTGCTGTACCACATCTGGGATACGTCCTTCAGCATGACCAGGAACGAGAGAGGGAACACCGCAATCAGCACCACCCAGTAATTCTCCGACGACGAGAAGACCTGCGGGAACGGATTCGCGCTCAGGGCGTCGGCGAGCATGTGCCCCGACAGGCCCGCGTAGCCTATGCAAATGCTGAAGCAAGTCAGCGCGGTGCAGACCGTTGGGATCCAGGCCGTGCGTCGCCCGATGGTCGTCTGCCAAATCTCCGCTAGCGTGTTGCAGCCGGAGAGCTGCATGGCGCCGCCGACGAGGGAGGCGCCGAAGAAGCTGAGCAGGCCGAACACCAGGAAGAACAGCAACGAAACCACGATACCGCCGGCGGGGCGGCTTACCACCAGTACCCCCACAGGGCCTATGTTTGCGAAAGCGGAGATGACGACAACCCAGAATCCAGCAGTCCCGCGGCTCGACTCCGGGGTCCACGTCTCGGCGACAGACCTCAGGTAATCCTCGTTGTGCGTCGTATGCCGCCTGGGCTCGCGACTCTTCCAAGACAACGCCGAGCCGTAGGACAACTTCTTGCCCGGCTCTCGGGACTCCTTCAGCAGGCTCGCCTCCTCCAGCTCCTTGGAACTTCGCCTGGATACCTTGCCAGACTCCGTCAACGCAGAGTGGATACCGACCTCCAGCTCCCTGGAATTTCGCCTGCTCTGCACTCTCGCGCCGAGCGAATCATCCTGACTCATGGGCGCGCTGCGGGGATGGGAAGGCAAGGCATTCGTATGGAAAACGGTATCCGCGATATTTTTGAAACAAACCCGCTTGAGCCAAATAAAAAATTGCGGATGTGATGTTTACAATGGTGCTGCTGATAATGCTGGTGGCGGCGATGCTGATGCTGAGGGCGATGAGGACGATGATGATGATGCTGATGATGATGATGATGATGATGATGATGATGATGCTGCTGGTGCTGGTGCTGGTGCTGGTACTGGTGGTGATGATGCTGGTGATGATGATACCGGTGGTGATGATGATGGTGATGGTGATAACGATGATAACGGTGATGCTGATGATGATAATGATGATGATGCTGATTACTGTGATGATGACGATGGTGATGATGCTGCTGATGATGGTGATGAATACGGCGGCGATGATGATGACGCTGAAGATGCTGCTGCAGTTGACGATGATGCTGATGCTGATGATGATGCTGTTGCTGCTGTTGTTGGTCATGATGAGGCTGACCGTGGCAACGGTGTTCCTGATGGTGGTGATGGCCATGCTTAGGATACTAATGATAATGCTGCTGCTGATGCTGATGATGCTGGAGATGATACTGATGCTTCTGGTTATGATGCTGATGATGGTGATACGCACTTTCGAATCCATCTGAAGGCGAGCCCGGAGCACGGTTGTAAGCAAACTGGCAACGCAGTGCGGGGCCTGTAGAGTGCGCTGGCTCGGTGAGAAAGCGCGGCGTAGGGGGCACAAACGCCACACGGGTGGAACACCTCGGGCGCCCACCGAGGAGGAGGAGGAGGAGGAGGAGGAGGAGGAGGAGGAGGAGGAGGAGGAGGAGGAGGAGGAGAGCTGATGGCGCCAGCCGAGGGCGCCAGATAGGGAGGCGCCCGTTCAGGGCGCCGTGGTCAAACCTGTAGTTTTTGTGGCGGCCAACCGCGTCGCCAGAGCGCCCCGCGACGGGGGTCGTTCGGCCGACGGCGCCGGGGCCCAGCGCACCCCTTGTGGCGTCGAGGAAATGCCACGCCTGCCACGCTCTGGGAGCCTGCAACGCATAGGGCTCCCACCCCCAGCGCACCCCTTGTGGCGTCGAGGAAATGCCACGCCTGCCACGCCCTGCGAGCCTGCAACGCATAGGGCACCCACCCCCAGCGCACCCGCCGTGGGGAATATCGAGTGGCCCCCAGACCGGCAGGCGAGCCAAACGATTCCCAAGACATCGCCAGGCCGCCCTGCCCGTGCGCCAGCAGTTCTGTGCCGTGCGCGCGCTTCCCGTGCGCGGCCAGGCCTCTGGGGCCACGGCGTTCCTTCCGGCATCCAGGGTGCACAGTAAGGGCTCGACCACGGGAGACCTCCCACAAGAAGCCCAACCCTGAGACCCCAGGGCGCCCACTGTTTTTTTTGGCGTGGGAACGTCACGCCTTCCATCGCACGGCCATCGAGACCCAAGAGACCCAGGGCACCCTGGAGGCAAGCAAGGTGTTTCTTGGCATGTTTGGACGCCCGAAATGGGTACGGAAAGAATGGGTACAATGCCCAACAGCAAATGTTGTCCCAAACCAACAACGGCCGCTGTTGGGCAGGCGGCCTTCTGTCTCGAATGGACACGGGCCGCGGCGGCGTGGACAGCGAGTCCTGTTCAAAATGAACAGGAACTGCTGTTGGGCATTGTACCCATTCTTTCAGTGACCATTTCGTGCGTGCAGAGCATGCGTCGCCACTGTGCGACAGAGTCGGGGCCGGCGCGGTCCAGTCGTCCAGGCGGCAGAGGCGAGGCCCCTCGCTGCCAGCGCACGGCCGCTGGGGAGAGTGCGGGGCCTCGCGCGGGCCATCGCGGAGGGCGCGACAAAGCCGCCTGCATCTCTGAAGGGGCCCCAGGACACACAAATAAATACACTCAAATAAAAAAGATTCCCCATATTTGCCCATATTTTATGGGTTTTGTCTTCCCCCCCACTTCCCATATGTTCCCATATTTTCTGCGGAATGGACGATTAATTGTGTCTGTGTGTTTCTTTCCCTCCTGAATCTCCCAAGCTCCGACGCGATGAGCTCGCGCCAGGCACCCAGAAAGCGAAGCGGGTCCCCGAGGAACCACGGTGCAGTCCGGAACAGCGGCTGCCAGCTGCCCGAGGTCCGTCAGGAGCCGGGGGACGGACGCAGGCCGGAGCACGACGGCGGTGCAGCGGATCACCAGCGGCGGCTCCTGCAGCTGCGAGCCAAACCCTCGCAGTCGCGACGCCCGCACTGACGAGGCGAGCTGGGGGGCCTGCAGCGCGGTCCGCACCCGGAGATCCGTCGGCGCGCCGGGGGGACCCGAAGCGTATCGATCCGTGGATGCGGCGTGACAGTGATGATGATGCTGATGATGATGCTGATGATGATGATGATGATGATGATGCTGCTGATGCTGATGGTGATGGTGATGGTGATGGTGATGCTGCTGATGATACTGGTGATCAGGTGATCATGGTGATGATGACGATGATGCTGATGGTGGTGATGATGGCGATGACGATGCTGATGCTGAAGCTGATGAAGAAGATGATGATGATGCTGCTGATGATGCTGCTGCTAAGTATGATGATGCTGATGATGATGATGCTGCTGATGATGCTGATGATGTGTATGATGATGCTGATGCTGATGCTGATGCTGATGATTATGATGTGTTTAGTATGAGTAGGATGACGATTGTGGTAATGACGAAGATCACACCAATCAAGAGACAGATGTACGTGTCAAACAGATGTTCTGAACCAAACCAATCACCTAGCATCCGCTCTTTGGCATCGCCTTGGCACATGCTTGCTACCGTCGGAGGGATCGTATCGCCATCAGGCTGAATGCATGGCCCAGAGACAGCAAGGTTACCTCGGTGATAGTTGCTGCAAGTGCCATCTCCAGCGTCAGCCTCAAGTGAACGTACACGCCCTGGGCCGCTGCGACCACCGACACCGCATCGAAAGACGACCGCGACAACAAATGTGGCGGAGCCTTGCCTCGCTGGCAATGATAGGGGAAGAAGCGATGGCTTAACCATAACATGATCGGAGCTCCGCGCGGATTTCTTGGATCTGCGCTGGACCCCCCTCCCTAGCGCGCGAGGCGCGACAAGGGCGGTGCCAGGGGGCTCCAGCGCCGATCCAAGACATCCGCGCGGAGCTCCGAAAGTCAATGCTTGTGCCGTCTTTTACCCCTCGAGGTGCAGAGCCTGCCGCAAGTCTCGACGAGATGCGCCTGGACTCGGCTATCGCATCGGCTCAACTCCTCGGGCTCTCCCCGTAGCCGCGGACGCTCGGGATGCAGCCGCACGGTCGCCCCGGGCGTTGCGCAGGGCTGCGCGGGCCCCGCCCCGCCATGTCGGAGAAAAGCACAGACGAAGCCTCCGGGGATGGACGTGATAACATCTGGGGCCGCCTCGGCCACGACTCCTTCCCGACTGACGCGGCACAAGCTGACGCGGCACAAGCTCGGCGCAACGCGTCCCGCACTTTGGTCCGCGGCACTTTGGTCCGCGGCACCCGCCCCTTCCATCTCCGCCGCCCGTGGTGCTGCTGGTGGTGCTTCTGATTGCGATGATGTGTTGGCGATGGTGGTGGCAACGCTGAAGCTGATGCTTTTTTTTTCCTCAAGCAAATGACTTGTATATCACTTACACAACCTCAGCCGCCATGTGATCGAAAGACTCGCCAGGCAAACCAAGAGCACCCCAAGAGCCGACCTGCGATAGGCAAACTCATGAAGTGAACCGTGGCCTGAAAGGGAGCCTGCTCACGCTACAAGAAAAGTATTTCCCCCTCCCCCTGCGCCGGCCGCAGGCCAAAGGATACGATCAGCGAACGCTGAAGCTGATGCTGATGCTGGCGGTCCTGGTGACCCACGGCGGAAGGGGCGTGCGGCACGGCCTGCCCAGCCCGCAAGCCCGCGGGCCGGCTGGCCCGCGCATGGACGAGCCGGCCGCCACAACCCGCCACGAGCGCGAGCCTGGGCCCCACTCCTCCTCCTCCTCCTCCTCCTCCTCCTCCTCCTCCTCCTCCTTCTCGTCCTCCTCCTCCTCCTCCTCCTCCTCCTCCTCCTCCTCATCCTCCTCCTCCCCCTCCTCTTCCTCCTCCTCCTCCTCCTCCTCGTGGCGAGCTGGGTCCAGCAGGCGGTCGGCGATCGGCGGGGGGCGCGAGGGGCGCGAGACTTGCAGCACCACGGGGAGCGGGAACGGCCGGAGCGCCCTCGGAGCGTGAAGCACCTCGGGAGGTGCTGGAGACGGACTCAAGCACTCGCCGTTGTTGAGGGGGCCCAGGGACACACAACTCCGCAGACCCTGTCGACGTCGTCGTCGTCGTCGTCGTCGTCGTCGTCGTCGTCGACGTCGACGTCGTCGTCGTCGTCGTCGTCGTCGTCGTCGCCGCCGCTGTCAATGCGCATGCAGACCCAGCCCCAGGCAGGCGGAGCCGCCGACCCCTGAGGGTACGACCGCGGGGCGGGCCTGCAGAGCGCAGACCGCTCCTGGCCGGGCCGCCCCGCGAGTGTGATGGGCCGGTTCTACACCAGAGATTACCATAGGCAAGACGGGGGAGAATGGAGGATGGGGAGGTCCTCCACCTCCTCCTCCTGCTCCTCCACCTCCTCCTCCTCCTCCTTCCTCCTCCTCTTCCTCCTCCTACTCCCTCCTCCTCGTCCTCCTCCCTCCTCCTCCTCGTCCTCGTCCTCCTCCTCCTCCTCCTCCCCTCCTCCCTGTCCTCGTCCTCATCCTCCTCCTCCCTCTGTCCTCCTGCTTCTCGTCCTCCTCCTCCTCCTCCTCCTCCTCGTCCTCCTCCTCCTTGTCCTCCTCCCTCTCGTCCTCCTCCTCCTCCTCTTCCTCCTCCCTCCTCCTCCTCCTCCTCCTCCTCCTCCTCCTCCTCCTCCTCCTCCTCCTCCTCCTCCTCCTCCTCCTCCTCCTCCTCCTCCTCCTCCTCCTCCTCCTCCTCCTCCTCCTCCTCCTCCTCCTCCCCCCCCCTCCTCCTCCTCCTCCTCCTCCTCCTCCTCCTCCTCCTCCTCCTCCTCCTCCTCCTTCTCCTCCTCCTCCTCCTCCTCCTCCTCCTCCTCCTCCTCCTCCTCCTCCTCTTCCTTTTCCTGCCTATGGTCGTGGTGATGGAAAAC